ATTTACAAGTGTTAGATCTTCTTGTTGGATAGACCCTTTAAGTATGATGTAGTGTCCTTCTTCATCTCTTATTACAGTCTTTGGTTTAAAATCTAATTTGTCTGATATAAGGATTGCCACCCCAGCTTTCTTTTGGTGTCCATTAGCATGGTAAATGGTTTTCCACTCCCTCACTTTCAATCTGGAGGTGTCTTTGGGTCTAAAATGAGTCTCTTGCAGACAGCATATTGATTGGTCTTGTTTTTTTATCCAATCTGATACCCTGTGTCTTTTGATTGGGGCATTTAGCTCATTCACATTCAGGGTAACTATTGAAAGATATGAATTTAGTGCCATTGTATTGCCTGTAAGGTGACTGTTACTGTATATTGTCTGTGTTGCTTTCTGGTCTATGTTACTTTAGGGCTGTCTCTTCACTTAAAGGATCCCTTTTAATGTTTCTTGCAGGGCTGGTTTGGTGATTACAAATTCTTTTAGTTTCTATTTGTCCTGGAAGCTTTTTATCTCTCCTCTTTTGAATGACAGCCTAGCTTAATAAAGTATTCTTGGCTGCATATTTTCCTCATATAGCACCCTGAATATATCATGCCAGTCCTTTCTGGCCTCCAGGTCTCTGTGGACAGGTCTGCTGCCAGTCTAATGTTTCTACCCTTGTAGGTTACAGACCTCTCCCCCCCCGCCCCCCGCCCCGAGCTGCTTTCAGAATTTTTCTTTTGTGTCTAAGATTTGCAAGTTTCACTATTATATGTTGGGGTGTTGACCTATTTTTATTGATTTTGAAGGGGGTTCTCTGTGCCTTCTGCACTTGAATGCCTGTTTCCTTCCCCAGATTAGGGAAGTCCTCCACTATAATTTGCTCCAGTATACCTTCTGCCCCCCCCCCCCTTTCCTTTTCTTCTGGGATCCCAATTATTCTAATATTGTTTCACTGTATTGTATCACTTACGTCTTGAACTCTCCCCTCATGATCCAGTAGTTATCTTTTTCTCAGCTTCTTTATTCTCCATCATTTTGTCTTCTATATCACTAATTCTCTCTTCTGCCTCATTTATCCTAGTAATTAGTGTCTCCATTTTTGATTGCCATTCATTAATAGCCTTTTTGATTTTGACTTGGTTAGATTTTAGCTATTTTATTTCTCTAGAAAGGGATTCTCCAGTGTCTTCTGTGCTTTTTTCAAGCCCAGCTAGTATCTTTATAATCATTATTCTGAACTCTAGTTCTGACATCTTACTTATATCCGTACTGATTAGGTCCCTGGCAGTCAGCACTGCCTCTTGTTCTCTTTTTTGAGGTGAGTTTTTCCATCTTGTCATTCTATCCAGAGAAGTATAGATGAAAGAACAAAATACTAAAATGGCAACAACAAAATATATAGAGAAATATACACTAAACAAATCATAAGAGAGCTGAAACCAAAAAAGAATAAAATAATAAAAATTTTAAAAAGAGAGAGAGAGAGAATATAATCAGACAAGTGAACAGAACAGAGCAATACACTATATCCTGAGAGTATTTTGGTCTGTTTGTTAGAAGAAACTGCATCCCAAAATTGTAAAGAAAGAAAAACTTATATATATACAAAAATAAAATTAAATACAATGAAAGTATAGAATGTTAACTCTAAAAATGAAAATTTAAAATGATTTTTAAAAAAGAGTTGATAAAGTAAGAAATTGATTGAAAAAGGAAAGAGAAAAAAAATTAAAATTGAAAGACTAAAGAATCATGGAGGAAAAAAATACATGAATTCTATATACTATTTTCCCCTAGCACTGGAGTTTTGCAGTTTTCTGTGATTGATAAACTTCGTCTTGGCCAGTTGTTCTTACTGACCTTCTGGGGGAGGGGCCTGTTGTGCTGATTCTCAGGTGTCTTTTTCCCTGGGCGTAATTGTACAGCCCTTGCCAGGGGGCCAGACGAAGTAAGTGGCTCTGGATTGCTCTATGTGGCTTTTGTTCCCTGAAGGTTTTCCACACAGCTTTAGAGGAGGAGAATGAAAATGGCAGCCTCCCAATCTCTCGCCCCAGAGGAGCCAAGAGCTCAGGGCCCCACTCCTCAGGGCACCTTCAGGGAAAAGCAGTCACTCCTGTCTCCCTGGTCTCCATCCACACTCCATGCTCACCCAGCCTGTGACTGAGCATTTCTGTGTCAGGCACACAACCCTGTCCTGAGTCTCCAAACCCTGCAGACTCCTGTGACACGTACTTGCACCGCTCCTCCTGGCAGAGGAAATGGGGGTCTCACCGGGGTTCTGCCCCTCGCTGGGCCCCTGCTCAGAGAGCAGTCTCCCGACTATACTGCTGTTTGTGGTATATGGCAACTCTGGGCTGAAAGTCCACTCCTGGGCTCACTTATTGCAACCCGCTCCAGTGCCTGGAAACTCTGCCGCACTCGGCACCCCGGTATTCCTGTGACCCTGAGGACCCTGAGGCCACACTATTCCTCCTAGGATTGTGCCCTGTTTTCAGGCAGGGACGTCCTTCACCCAAGCAGACTTCTTAAAGTTCCGATTTTGTGCTCTGCTGCTATATCACTTTCTGGTAGCGGGTTTACAGAGGCTCCCTCCCCTCACGGTTTATCTTCCCATATATCCCCTCGGATTTGCTTCTCCACACCTCCTACCTTGCAGAAAGTGGTCGCTTTTCTATTTGTAGAATTGCAGCAATTCTTTTCTTAGATCTCCGGTTGAGTTTGCAGGTGTTCAGAATGATTTGATAGATAACTAGCTGAATGCCTGGGACCAGATGAAACTAAGGTCTCCTACCCCTCCCCCATCTTGGACTATTCTCGCATTTTGTTTGCTTTTTAAATTTTTTTTCATATTAATAGCATTTGAATTTATAAAGATGAGCATGATTTTTTTTACCATTGGCCAAAACATGTATAAAATTTTCCATCTTAACTATTTTTAAGTGTACAGTACATTGTTAACTATGTGTGCCCTGTTATGCAACAGATTCATCTCACAAAACTAAAACTCTGTATCCATTGGACATTTCCCCTTCCCCCCCCCCCAAAATGCTGGCAACTGCTGTCCTACTTTCTAAGATGTCTTTTTAACTTTCAGTCCTTTAGAGTCCTCAGACTTTTACTTTATGGTTTAGCTTTTGTGATTATAAAACAAATGTTTATTGTCCTAAATAGACAGTAAATACCCACTTGCCAGCACTCAGGAAACAGAACATTGCCAGCAGCACCCCAGAAGCTTTTCATGTACCCCTTTCTAGTGGCAACTCGCTCCCTTTCTCTTAAAGGTCACCACTATCCTCACTTTATATGGTATCCATTCCCTTGCTTGGTTGATGACCAAAGTTTGTTTCTCTAAAACAAGTCAATTTAGTTTTGCCTGATTTTGAACTTTATGTAACAGTATCATAGTGTGTATATTCTATTATAATTTGGTTCTGTCACTCGGTATTATTTGTAGTATTAGTCCATGTTATTACCTTTGAAGTTTATTTGCATTGCTACATACTATTCCATTGTGTGGACATGCCACAATATGTTTATGCATTCTTTTATCAATGGACAGGGATTTTCAAGACATTTATGACCATTTTTATACGTTTCCTCACACACATCTATACATATCTCCTACTCCACTTTTTTTTCAGGTGTATGCCTACATAGAACTGCATGCAGGACCATAAAATATAATAGAGAGATCTTTACCTTTAGTAGATAGTGCCAGACTGTTTTCCAAAGTGATTGAAACCATTTGAACTTCCAACAGCCGAAATTGAGAAAGTCTAGTACACACATTCTCACCATCATTTGCTGTTGTCCTATTTATTTTTGCCATATAGTGAGTGCTTAGTAGTATATTACTGTGGTGTTGTTTTTCATGTTGTTGATCACAAGTGAGGTTCAACACCTTTTCATATATTTATTGGCCATTTGGATTTCTTCCTTTGTAAAGTGCCTGTATAAGTGTTTTGCCCATTTTTTACTGGGTCGTTTGCCTTTTTCTTATTTGTTTTTAGCAGTTCTTTATATATTCTGGACATAGGCTCTTTGATGGTTTTATATTTTATAAACATCTTCTCCTTTCTGGCTTATCTTTCCTTCTCTTCATAGTGTCTCTTGATGAATGTATCATCTTAATTTTGACATAGCCAAATTATTCTAGTACTTTTCAGTGTTGTTTTAAGATGATGTAAGTGACCTTTAAAAATCTAATTTGTTTCCTTAACTAAAAAAACCAATATTTAAATGTGCTTATTGTAAGCTTGAATTCTTTACAGCTAAGAGCTTGGCAGACCTTCTCCTCAAAGAGAATGTCAATGACAATAATGGCCACAATGTTAAACATTTGAAGAACACTTTCATCATTTTCACATTTAGGTTCCCCATATAACCTAGAATTTTTAAATCATTATAATTCTGTTTGGCTCTCTTTCAACAAATAGATCCTGCAGCATATATGATTATCTTATTTTCTATAACTCCTAACCGAGTACCATCCTGTGCCACCTTATGGTGCTGTTATATATGGATATGGGGGTCCATATGGGCATATGTCCCATCTTTCCAACTGGGCTGAAATCTCCTTGACATCAGAGGATTTGTAAATGCATCTTTGTATCTCCCGTGGTGCTCTGCATTAAGTAAGCAACTAGAAAGGTGATAATAATATGCAGGGCCCCTGAATATTTATTTAGCCCTTCAAAAGAAAAGAAAAATGAGTTTTAACAGACGTGAGATCCTCAGATTTTCTTTTAAGGATTACATGGCTTGTTGCAGTTCTAATATATGATTGATGATTGCTGATTATCCCAACCACATTTCGACCAATCAGTATAATCACCTTCACTTTCCAGACCTTTCAATGAACAGCTAATTTGTCATCCACATCCTTGTCTATTCTACTGTATAGCCCCTGTTAGAGATATTGATGGGAGCCAAGGGGGAGTACAGATAATTCAGAACATGGATAATCTACTTTCTTCTTGAATGTCACAAAATCCAAAATATGTTTATGTGCATTTGCTTCTCAGGTAGAAATGAGTCCTCTGGAAAATGCAATTGAAGTGTTGGAAAATAAGAATCAGCAGCTGAAGACTCTGATAAGTCAGTGTCAGACAAGACAGATGCAGAATATTAATCCCTTGACTATGTGCCTGAATGGAGTTATAGATGCTGCGGTTAATGGTGGAGTTTCCAGGTATCAAGAGGTGAGGATTAGGTATTGTTGTCTGAAAGTTTTTAAATTTGATTTCTTAGGGCTTCAGAAGTCTTTTTTCAAAATATGCACACACATCTGCATGCTAATATCGGGTTACAATTGACACAGAGTTCTTTGTTAAATAGAGCAAACAGATAGTCATTTGTGATGCACACTTATTCCATTTGCCATTATGTGGTATTTTGGGGATAAAAGTGTGTGCATGTGTGTGTGTGTGCTTGGATGAATAAAGTGAAGTTATCAAGATTGTTTAATAAATGTCTACCTAAGGGCGCCTGGGTGGCTCAGATGGTTAAGCGTCTGCCTTCGGCTCAGGTCATGATCCCAGAGTCCTGGGATCGAGTCCCGCATCGGGCTCTCTGCTCCTTGGGAGCCTGCTTCTCCCTCTCCTCTCTCTCTCTCTCTCTGTCTCTCATGAATAAATAAATAAATTCTTAAATAAATAAATAAATAAATAAATAAATAAATAAATAAATAAATGTCTACCTAAAACCGCTTCCTTGACCAAGGAGGCTCACGGGCATAGAAACATCTGATCTTGTTTAGAAGATACTTTAAATGGACTTTTCATCTGCCCTTGTGGTTTTAAACAGAAAGGCAAAACAGCTTGAAAGGTGAGGAGGCTACCATTTTAGTCATACTGAATATTAAAGCACTTTATTTTAGGATACAAAGCTTATTGATTTGGATTTGCTATTTGCTTGCTTTACCAGAGACACTTATTTACACAATCGCGGCTCTTTAACCAATCCTTTCCTTATATTCCCTTTCTGACCAGCTGCCCACAGTAGGAGTCATTCCTTCTGCCCCACAAATGTGGTTTTCAGTGGTGTTTCTTTAAAGATGCCAAGTCTTTAGAAGCAGCTGTGTCTTTCACTTTCTTTTTAACTTTCCTGAAGTAAACTGACTCTCCATTCTCTTTCTAGGCATTTTTTGTCAAAGAATATATCTTAAGTCACCCTGAAGATGGAGAGAAAATTGCACGGTTAAGAGAGCTAATGCTTGAGCAGGTAAGGTGGGGGCAGAAGCCAATCACCTGCTCTCTTTCCTGCCTAGATTTGCATAGTTACCCAGAGACCCATCTCCTTGGTTTTCTATGTCAGTGTTCTAACAGAAGAGGTCAGCTAAGCATTATAGATTCATCTATAATGTATTCCAACTTGCTAATTTTTACTTTTACTTCCCACTTCGATGCAAAAATAAATTTAACAATGAGTAAACTATGACAGCCCCTTAAAATGGACAACTTCATGTAGTCTCTTGGACTAGTGTTTGAATGTCTCTCCCTAAAGACTTGCTGTAGGCTTGATGCCAACTTTTCACTCAAAATTTGGGGCTCACGTAAGTTCAGACCAACTCAAAATAAAGGAATAGATAAATGAATGAGGGAAGGAATGAGATTCTTACTTAAATGTTATAGTAAGGGGCAATCAATAGACTTTGCTTTAAAACAAAGACTAAGCCTATAGATGATAGGATATGGACAAAATGAGATACAGGCTCATCATTTTCTACTCCAAAGAAGCATAGTTTATTTATTTAGTTCCAGCAAGTACAAAGAACTAGAGTAATCTCTTTGCCTGCTATGTTCCTGGAGCTAGCTCTTGGCCTGAAAATGGTTTGAAAACCTCTGAGGTAGGAGACATGATGGTCAAGAGGCTGAGTTAAATAGGAAATAAGGACATTTAATAGCCATAAAAAATGGAATACGTATGAAAAAATGTGACCAAAGCATCTCCTTCTACTTGATAATACCAAATTAATCAACAAATAAGGCAAGCCCTTTTGGGTAAGAAAATGATGAGGTTGTATCTGATTTTCATCCATATTTTATGCTCTGCAGGCTTAATCCACAGACCTTAATACTGGGGAGACAGAAGTGGCCATGGACAGGTACCATGGCTGGAAGAGGGTCAGTTATGCAGCTTCTAGAAAAGAAAAAGGAGTTACTTTAAGGTGACCTGCAAGGAAATCGAGAATAAGTTAAGTTCTCGATGTGGCCCTAGGGGTGATGTAGATATTAGAAGTGAGCAAGTTAGGTTATCCAGTTCTTAGGATTTTGGAATGACTGTGGCCTTTGTTGATATTCAATGATCAGTATTTAACCTGAGCACAGTCTCTTGTGAGTGGTTTGCCTCACTGCAGGACTCTTACTTGGTGTATTCAGTCTGACTGAATTTTTTCCCCAGAGTTAAAATTAAAAGGACCAAGAAGACTCTCAAGAAAAATAAAATCGGGAACCTTTGTTTCCTCCACATCCTGCCTGTGTTCACAGGGCCTTGTGGAAAGTGCTGTGACATAGGAGACTTTATATCTCTGTCATAGGATAAGCAGTACAAGTGACTGCCATGTGACCTTGGGCAGGTCACACCATCTTTGTGAGACCATAGTAGTAGGGGATTGGGCTGGCAAGGGCACTACCCTCAGCTGGACCTCTGTGAGGTGGTTCAGATAAACTACCTGGGGGCCTCGGAGATGCCCTACCCCGGTGGCTCTTCCAGAAAGGACTTGGCCCAGCTGAGGGGAGTGGTGGCCGTCGACAGACACTGTTGGTGCTAAGGTCCTTCAGCTATTGCCTCAGCTGCAGAATGCTGCCTGGCCCACGATCACCACCTTCCTGGGTGGCCCGCATCCAGTGACTGAGGAGGAGATATAAGGCCCGGCCATCTGGGCCCAACACAGCACAACTCTGACAGCCTGTTTGAGGCCCAGAGCTCCCCTGGTGTCGGCAGAGGCTGACATGACTGCTGTGTGTCTCGGCTTCTTTTTAGTTAGTCCTGCTTCTGCCGCTCCCTCACACAGACAGTGATGCCAGGTGACTCCCCAGTAAACATCCTCATCTCCATGCCAGAGTCTACTTCTGGGAGAACCCAACCTGCAACGTGATTTTGACAAAACAGAGTCTTACAGCGAGTGTTTAAAATGGAAACTGGATTCCTGCCCTTGAGGTCAACTCTTCCATGCCCTTCTCCCTTCATCAGACTCTTCCTTTACACCTCAGACATCCACTCCACTCTCACTACTCCCTTTAAAGGTGTCCTTGAGGTTTAACGTATTTTTATTCTTATGCAGATATGCTGGCGGTGGGTAGGGGCTGCCACAGTCCTGCCCACATACAGAAGGTGCTGGACACTCTAACCCACCAGGCTCAGTCCTGTTTGACTTGAGCTTTCAATCTTGAATCTTCACAAGATGTCAAGATAAAAACCACTGTGGTGACGGTGTGATTCACTTTCCTCACAGTCGGTGAAATTTGTTCTTTTGACCACGTTAGCATGGGGGCATTTTTTTTAAATGTAAAAGATAGCTGATACTCAGAGGAATTAAGCACTATTCATAGTTGAAGAACAAAAGAAACTTGAATTGTTTGTGTACATCTCTTTTGGGTCCTCACCACAGAAAACCTCTTTTTTTTTTTAAGTACGAGCTGCTCCTTATTGCATTATAATAAGTGAACCAGAATAATCATTTTTAACAAAAACAAAAAGAATGGCAACTATTATAGAACTCCTGTTCCTATCCTACCTCCATGTCTTCCTCAACCAAATTCTGAAAAGGGAGGTGGGGGGAGGAGAGATGGGCACAGCAGAACCTGGTGGAAGAGAAAGAGTATCGTGAAAAAGGGCATACCATCCAGAGAAGAGATCCCTTGGGGAGAAGCTCCTGCCCAATCCTCTGAAGTACAGAGGGGAGCCAAGCAACACATAACTGCTTAAAAGGGTTGTTATTACAGATCTAAAATACATGGGAAAGAAACTTCGGGTAGGAGGTAAATCAGAAAGACCTAAGTTTGAATCCCCATGCAGGATCGTTCTGATCCTCAGTGTCCTCACCTGTAAATGAAGGATTGTTCCTATCTTGTGAGGTTGAGAGGATTAGCCATAACACATGCAGAATGCATGGTACAGTGCTTGACCCTCTAGCAGGCACTTGGTGGAGTTATTCACTGATGTGTTTTTTTTTTTCCTTTTCTTGTTATCAAGGCACAGATTTTGGAATTTGGTTTGGCTGTGCACGAGAAGTTTGTGCCTCAAGATATGAGACCCCTACACAAAAAGCTGGTCGACCAGTTCTTTGTGATGAAGTCAAGTTTAGGGATACAGGTACGTACCCAAAGTGTCCATAGGGGGCAGTCTGACCACTGCCGGTTGCTTTTTGTTAGCGGGACGATGAAGTATCCAATAGTGACATCTTTTGGTTTTCCTACCAAACTGCACCATCTTACCAGGGAGTCCTCCAGTATTAAAATTTTGCATCATCTTCTATTTGCCTTGTTCAACTTTTATGAAAACAAAAAAGGGCAAGAAAGCTTAATACCGAAACTTACCTTTATAACCTTACGTAAAGATTTCATAACAATATGCTAAAATACCTCACGAGTTCTTTTGCCCCTATACTTACTCGTCTAAAATATTTCCTTGACTCCCTCTCTAGGAGTTCTCTGCTTGTATACAAGCCAGTCCAGTCCATTTTCCTAATGGAAGCCCCCGCGTGTGTAGAAACTCAGCACCTGCTTCTATGAGCCCAGATGGTACCAGGGTAATTCCTAGACGCAGGTAAGTCATATTCTGAATTATCTGACAATTTGGCATCCACCCAAGATCTGGAATGATTCTCTCATTCTTTATGGCACGATTTGTCAAATACGCTATTTCTTAATGAAATAATTAACCCGCGAGGCAGCTGCAGACATCTGCCACTGGTAAAATAGCAACAGCATGAGAAATAAATAAACTCAAACATTTGATTATATTGAGGCAAACAGGAGACAACAAAATGGGATGTATATATTTTTTTTCATTTGGTTTTATACGACACCAGCATGTGATAAAGTGCAATTCAGAGACTGAGTTAATGACCATTTTTTTCCCCCCAAAACAGCCCATTAAGTTACCCAGCTGTCAACCGATATTCTTCCTCCTCACTGTCCTCACAAGCTTCTGCTGAAGTAAGCAATATTACAGGGCAATCAGAAAGCTCTGATGAAGTCTTTAACATGCAGGTACTTGATTGGCTTTTTAATCGTCTGGTCGTGTGTATTCCTTTTCTGTCTCAATCATGAGAGTTTCTGTCCACTCTGCTGGGCTATTGAACAGATCTGCGAGCAAGAACGTTGAGTTAAGGACAAACCGTTAAACACTCTCACTGCTCTCTTGGTCTCTGGAGTCTACAAAGAGGTTTCCCCCAAAACTGCCCCCTCCACTCTCAGAAGCGAGAATGGGAAAGCCTGGCAAACTGCGCAGGGTTAGCTTTGAAACCTGCCTCTGATTTGCTTCTTCCATTCGGGACCCTTGGAGCCTGTCACCACATCCTGGCTGCCTCTTAGCATTGCTAAGTGGCCTCGTTGCTTCACAATACACAGTTGAGAGGGCCATTATACAATTTCTCTACTTCTGCTCATGTCAGAAAATGTTCATAATAAAAAGATTTTTACTGAAGAAACAAAATAGTTTTAAAGGACATTAGTCAGTGTAACTCTGCAACACAGAATTTTATTTAGACCCTGCTTATACAGCATTTATAATAATTTAGTAAGAAGAAGTTAAAATTTTCCTCACCACTGTCTTTAGAAAAGGGGCATAGTACATATTGCCAAATTCATGCCTTGAGCACATTTTTGGAGAAAACAAGAAGGTGCATTTTCTGCTTTTTAGAAGCACTCCCCTGTCTCTGTGCCCGAGGCTGGGGGTCCTTCTGCTTGTCCATTAGTCAGTGAGGGCTACCTGCTCCTCCATCCCAGTAGATCCGGGAAACTAATAACTAATTCAAATGCGTTCCTTTGGCTGGAGTCAAAGCCTCAGTTTTTGTTTTTGTTTTTTTAGAGTATTTTGATTTTAAATCTTGGATTCTTGATGAATTCAGACAGGCTTCCTTATCAGCCTGAGATTTTTCTCTATTTCTATATGGCCTTTTTCTTTTCGTTTTTGTTTTGTTCTTGTTTGTTTTTTGGCTACTTTGAAAGAAAAGGGCAGGGATCTTGTTTTCAATATGTCACTGTTGTCTGGAGCCTCTCAGCAGTGGATGATAACAGCTCCCTTGTATTTGCAGCCAAGTCCATCTACCTCAAGCTTGAGTTCGACTCACTCTGCTTCACCTAATGTGACAAGTTCTGCCCCATCAAGTGCCAGAGGTCAGTGCCAGGGTATGGGGCTGACTGAGGGTGCCCCAGGAGCTGTGGCCCTGGCACCCCAGCCCAACATGTCCTCCAGGCAGGTCCAGCACACGCCCTGACGATCCTTCCTTTCCTTCTCTTCTCAGCTTCCCCTTTGTTGTCTGACAAACACAAACATTCCAGAGAAAACTCTTGCCTGTCCCCGAGAGAGAGACCATGCAGTGCCATCTACCCAACACCTGTGGAACCTTCTCAGGTAGTCCCTTGGGGGGCATGGAGATACTAGAAAACAAGCCAGTGTCTGAAATTGCTTACATATCTCTGCAGAAAAAGCCTGTACCTGCCAGAGGCAACCAGATGGGCTGTGTTAGACAAGTCGATCTGAGTGAAGAGTGAACCTCTGCTCCATGCCTGTTGTTTGAAGTTTCTGTTGGATCCATATTTCTGATACTGATACATGGGTTGCTGCCTGAGCAGTAAAGTGGAGTGGAAAGTGGGAAATGATTTTTCCCTCCTTGACCTGACTCTCTAGTTCATTGCTGCTATTTAAACAGTACAAGGGTAATTAGGTGAATGAGTTGGAGTGTCTGTGTGTGTTTGCATGTGTGTGTAGCAGGAATTTCAAGCAACTTTCTCCATTAGCAAGAGACCCTTGAGGAGAAACATGATCTGTCCAGCAGCCTTTCTTTTGGCCTGTACCTAGTTTGAGAGAGCTTCAGTTGATTCCTTTCTGAGGGACCCAGGAGCGCAAGGACAATTTCTGTTCACCTTTGCCATTCTTTAATGCACTGGGGGAGGAGCAGTTGAGTGCCCAGGCTTTCACGGTCCCTCCACCCCCGGGTGTAAAGGACCATGGTCCTCAGCTCCTGCCTGGACTTGATTTTGAAGTGATCCTGATGTAGGAAAGATGTTAGGGTTCGAAGCCGATGGCCAAGAAAGAATTCTTGAGACGTCTTTGGTGCAAAAAGGTGATTTTATTAAAGCACAGGGATAGGACCAGTGGATAGAAACAGCTGCACCGGGGTTATGAAGAGTGACCCGTATATACTTTCAAGTTGGGAGGGGGTTAGGGATAGCGTAAGTCTCTAAGGAATTTGGAAGCAAGGTTCCCAGGACCTTGAGGGGCTAGCTGTTGCTGGAAAAGTGTCATATATTACTGTCTAATAAAACCTGACTCATGAGACCCTTCAGATGTGTATCGATGGGCCATATGCTTGGGGGATGATTGCCAACATGTATCTGGGGGGTGAGGGGGTTTAGAGATAAAGGAAGTTTCCAAAAGAATTTTTATATGTTAAAGTAGGCTTACAGGATCCTTTGGGGGGGGGGGGGTATGGTCAGCCTAGGATTGCCTTTTGATCCTTAGCGAAGTATCAACATCAAGGCAGGTGAGTCCCTAGAGTAATATCCCTCTGCCTGTTTCAAGGACTTGGTCAATGGGCTGTAGGTAGTAAGGAAATTGAATAATTTTTCTTCTGCCTTTGTTTCCCACATGCATTCTCTTAGTCCAGGTGAGGGCAGGGCCAAGGGCTTGGCTCTCTGGGCACTTCAGGGGCTGTGAAGGGTGGTTTCCAACGTGAAGATTCTTGGGTAGCCCTGCGTTTTACCAATGATTTGGGAATAATTTAGGAGCAGAGAACAATACTTACTTATGTTCCAGCTAATTTTTCTGTTTTTCTACACCACCCTGGCAGAAGTCTGTAGCTGCATCTGGAAATGGATGAGAGCGAGTGGGATGTGGCTTGATTGGTTTATCTTTGCTGATTGTGTAATCTTCCCGAAAGCCCCAGGATACCTCCTCTGCACAACACTGATGTCTCGCAGAAACTCTCTCTGAGTGCGTTTGGCTGAACCAGCTCACCAGTTTTCCTTCCCTTTGCCACTTGATGTTGCAAGGGAGTTTCACACTTGGTCCCATCCGCTCCAGGAGCTCATGTTGCCCCCATGGGGGACTCTGAAAGCCTTCCTTGATTAGCCTCCTCCGACTTTTCCGCTTTTGGTAAAACGTGAAGCAGTGTGTAGTTGCCAAAACCTCAATAATACACATTGATATGGTGCATCTACTTTTAAGGACTTGCACTTTTTCTCCTAATGTATTAGGTAGAACCATGTAAAACTGGCATTCTCATGGGTTAAAAATCGTAGAATATTGTCCATTTCATGTTTTTAACCTACGATCGAAAACATGTCCATTCACTAGAGATTTTTTGAGCTAATATTTCTTAATTCTTATCTGCGTTTCATATTGCCAGTCTAAGCATTCTTATTTATAAAGAGCACCATAGCTTAACTGCTGCTTACTGTTTTTCCCTCCATTTTATTATGAAAACTCATTTACCATTTACATTTAAAATCTAATACAAACTTATTAAACTTAAGACTCTTCTCCCCTTTTTTCCTTAAATATAATTGAATTCTTGGTTCCCAGGCTCATCATGTACCATATAAAAATTATTTTGAACCAAAAGTTTTAGTTATGAGACAATCATCTCATTTTCTAGAAGGTCTCACATGACAGCATATTGCACCATAAAAATGGACTCTCGTACCTTTGCAGAGGCTGCTGTTTAATCATATTGGAGAAGGAGCCTTGCCACGCAGCGACCCAAATCTTTCTGCACCTGAGAAAGGTGGGTATGAAGCCAGCCCCCTCATCGGTCCCGGCAGGCGTCAGGGTTTGTTTTGTCCTCATTTTCTCCAGTCTATCGTGTGTCTATGTGGAAGGCAGATCTCCGGATCTTTAATAATCGGGACTAATTTGCCCTTTAGGGGATTCATGAGAGACAGTCCTTCATGATGCATTCTTTCAAAACTGTTTTCTTGTAGGATTGAACAGCAGAATCTGAGCAAATTAGGAACTCCTCAGTTACATGGCTTTTGGGGTCCGGGCACCAAGGCAGTGCCTGTGCTCCCTGAAACAAAGCTGCTGAAGAGGCTACTTATTCAGCACAGTGAAAAATAGCACCTTCCCAGATGGATTCCCTGGTCCCACTCTTTGTTTCCCTTACAAAGCTCATTCTGCCAGTTCATCTCTTGTTTGTGGTGACTCAGATACTATTTAAGAATTGCAATCCAGTGCATAATGGAGTGTGCCCTGCCTCAAGGTCACACAAAAAATGAGAAACGCACGCAAGGCAGTTAATAGCCAATTAGCATCGGTCTGTGCAACATGGCAGGCGATGAAGAGCAGATTCAATGTGACTCTCTCCACCGTGCGGGTGGGGGCCTGCAGCAAGTCACCTATATGCCTCGCTCAGGGTCAAGCCTCAAAAATCCAAGCGGTCGCATAAGCCAATGAATCAAGCCACTAATGAAATGTTCCCATAAAGTGCACTTTAATTGCCCTCATTAAGAACTAAACTGTATTGTCATTGGACTACATGGATAGATTAACATTAAAACTTTCCTTGGGAGATTGAAATTAGTAAGACGGTAGCCGAAATGATTTTAAAGCCCAAATCTTGCTTGAATGTTACACGTCGAATCTTAATCTTTGCCTGGAGAACTTAGTATTTTTCTCAGCCCTTCTACTAAAGAAAACCACAAAGCCAATTTAAAACGAACTGAGAAAAATTATTTTAAGCGTGGTGATTACATCCCCTGAAAGTAATGTGGTAATTTCGAGTAAAATGTTGAAATCCTAGCCGTGTCCATCAGATGGCAGTGTCTGTACAGGGAGCAAACCACTAGAAATTCTAAGACTTGCTTTTGGAAACCTGATTTCCTAGCAGCTATTTATAATCGTCCGTCTCTTGCCCTTGCTCCTAACAGGGTTGTTCCATATTTCTGCATCTTACTGAAGCATGGAACAGACAAATTACAAAAAAAGGAATGATACTGTCGGTATTCCAAATTACTTTTTTTTTTTAGGACATACTTCAGTATAATCCATTGATTTCAGGAACAAGGGTCCTTTTCCCAAAGAGTTGGTCAACAGGATGGTGGGGCATGGTCATCGTGCGAGGTAGTTGAAATATTAGCCTGTCACTGCCTTCCCCCTTTTGGGGTGCCACTTGTCCAGAAGTTTCCACTAAAAACCAAGTTTGAAAATATTTTAGTGACTACATCCTCCATCTGTTATCCAGCATCTAAAACACATTTGTAATTCTCAACAGGATTCTACGGTTCTAGGGTAGAGATCTGTAGTTCTGTTTGACTGCTTGAGGGGAAATAAAGAGACATGCTAGCACCCAATTAAATGTCAACTATAACTGTGAGGTAGAAAATTAAATAAAGGTTTAGTATATAGGAGGTCTCTTGGGGGGGTTTTTTGTTTTGTTATGTTTTAAATCCAGTGATTTTTTCATTCTGGATAATTTTGACTTTCTTCTAAGATCTCAAGCGTTCGAAGGGCAAAGTGGACCATGTGTTTTTAGCTGTGTTATTCCCTTCCAGCTGTGAATCCCACCCCTAGCAGCTGGAGCCTGGACAGTGGGAAAGAAGCCAAGAACATGTCGGATAGTGGGAAAATTATCTCTCCCCCTGTCCCTCCAAGACCCACACAAACTGGTGGGTATTTGAAGCATTTGAACAATCACTTTTATAAAATAACTTTTATGACTACTCCAGCTTGTCGTGAATTCCTCAGAGAAAGGTAGGCATTTGGGGTCTGAGGTAAAAACCTTAGTAGCTTAATTCATTTACAGTGTTTTCCCTCTTTCCTGAACTTTCTAGCTACTGTAAGTCAGACAGTACTCTGTTCCTTATAAACTCCATAGACAGATTCTGTAGACTGTTCTCCTGCTAGGCACCATACCTTTGGGGAGGTACCCTAACCTTTGCCAAGCCATTAATATTTTCTCTGTCCTTTGCTTGAACCACCTCATTCTTCAACCTCTGCTAACTCAGCCACTTCACTCTTACTCAGGACTGATGTCAGGGTTTCACATGGCCCCGACATAGGAATTGACTGACTAACTTTTGATAGGCTTGTGGGGACGTCCATTGTTATTCCTTGCATAGAGAGGTCTGCATTCAAGAGTGAGTGAAGTTTCTCAGGGCGCCTGGTGGCTCAGTCAGTTAAGGGTTCGACTATTGATTGCAGCTCAGGTCATGATCTCAGGGTTGTGGGATCGAGCCCCACATCACGTTGCATATGGCTCTGCGCTCAGTGAGGAGTCTGCTTGAGATTGTTTCCCTATCCCTATGCCCCTCCCCCACCACACGCCCTCTGATTTGCACACGGGCACTCTCTAAATAAATAAATAAATCATAAAAAAAAAAAAAAGTGAGATTTCCCAAGGGGTTGATTCAGGGGACTGCATCCCCTCAGGTGGTGGTTTAAGAAGCAAATTCTTTTTTTTTTTTTTTTTTTTTTAAGATTTTATTTATTTATTTGACAGAGAGATAGGGAGAGCAAGAACCCAAACAGGGGGAGTGGGAGAGGGAGAAGCAGGCTTCCCACTGAGCAGGGGGCCCGATGTGGGGCTCGATCCTAGGACCCTGGGATCATGACCTGAGCCGAAGGCAGGTGCCTAATAACTGAGCCACCCAGGAGCCCATAAGAAGCAAATTCTCAGGCCTAATCTTAGACCTACTGAATCAGAAGATCACCATTTCCCGGATAAGGCCCTAGAGTTGATATTTTACCAAACCTTTCTAGATTTTGAGAACCACTGAAAATACTTAAGAAACTTTATGAGTTTATAGCAATAACAGACCCCCTTTCCAACTGAATAAGCCATTTGCTTGGTGACCTTGGTAACTTTGATATGGTATAGTCTTTACAACCTACCCTGCTGACTCTGCCTATCTTGGTGATGGGGAGAGTCTTTTCAACATCGGCACACATCTAGAGTGGTTTTGGAGCTTTACCAGTACAGCTGCCCTAAAAGCAAGAGAAAACATGACATCATTTCTTCACGGATTTTTCTGGGTTGCTTATTCAGGTTTCATTTGTTGTATTTTAGCATCTCCTCTTTGTTTTCTATTTTTACTGACTTTCTCTTTTAAAAAACAAAAAAAGACAGTGTGCTACCCAGTTTGTTCTATACTGGTCAAAGCTAAAAGTCACCAATAGGTTTTGAAAAGCGTGTGAGATTTTTCAACAGAACAAGAAATAACCAGGCTTCCTCGATAACCCACATCAGAATACTACTGTGGCCCGATCAGCCAAGTAGTTTGTATCTATTCAGGCTGTGCAGATATTCAAGGAGTCTCCAGCTTAAACTGGTTGAATGGCATTTTCAGAGGAACAGTAATATCGATGGTAGTTAAGATCCTAGGCCCAGTCAAACTTGGAGGCAAGGATACTGATGGCACTCTTTTAGGTCTATGGGGGAGAATGCCTTTCTAGAGAAACATCTCTGTGGACAGGCTGTGGCTGCAAGGGCTGCTGTGGAGTCCACGGTGGTGGGGTCATGGAATGCCTTCGTCCGGAGGACGAGGAGCCTAAGCGGCAGTAAACTTCGGCTTCCGCCACACACAGCCGTGGCAGGAATACGGTTCCCAGTCAGCGTCTGTCTCTCCACTCACATAGGACTTTCTTCTGTCATCCGCCCCCGCAACGGACAGGCTAGAAGGAACCCTGGTGTTTGAAAGTGGCAGGGGCTGCACACCCCCACGTGGCCGCAGAGGGCCACTCCCCCTGGTGCGCTAGCTAGCACCCAGAGCACGCAGGTGACCTCTCCTCTCCCACTTTCACCTGGCAGGTCTGCCCTCCCTTCTGCACTGATTGCTCTCCTGGTCTGTCCTCACATCATCATCCATGGTCACTGTCGGGAGATCCGTAACTGTCTGTCTGTATTTCCTTCAGCCTCTCTCTGGTTTTCTTAAGAGTTGCAAACCTCACTTTGGCAGCTGGGAGAAGGGCAGCTGATCACAGAGCAACAAACCCTGAACTCAGTGAAACCTCTGTAGGTGGAATTGGGAAATCTGGCTTATCCTCACCGTGTTGACTGTGTCACAGCAACTTTCTGTGTGCATGGTTGTGTTTCAGGGGGCTGGACCCCTGACCCCCGAGCACACGGAGCAGTGCCATCACATGCCGCCTCCCAGCTGTCGGGCTTGAAAACCCAGGGGGAGAAACAGAGAGACAGCACTTCTTTGCCATAACGATGAAATCCATAGAGCACTACCACCACCACCAACCCCCCCTCATCCCCCAGGGACAAAAGGAAGACCTGAGTACAAGCATGAGGGAGGGAAATGGAAAACTTCTCACTTCTTGTTTGGATGTGGCCAAGGGTTTTCTATTTCGGGAGTGCTGGGAAGTGAAAGGGGAGGCTGGTGTCAATTTATGCTCATGGACCCCTTCTAACCAGCCTAGATGGTGTGGGTCTCCTTGTTGCTCAGACCAAAGTCAGCAGCTATTTTCCAAAGCCTTCTCCCTGGCACCTCACACCTAAAAGCACCTTTTGAAACAGATCAGGCAGTGGAAGAGCATCTGGACTTCTAGGAAATGGGATATTGGACCAGTTCGAGCTCCTGTCACTTCTGTATAGCATCATGTATGCGCTGGTGACTTTTCACTAATTCTCCCATGTCTTGATGAGGAGTCTGTTTTGGACAGGCATCATTTAGTTTCTCCTCTACCCCCCTTGTCTAGGAGGTCTTTAGGCACTGGACCATCTGTATGGGGTTGTACACAGAGGGCATGTGCAGATAGTGAACCTTCTGGTTTTTCTCAATTCAAAGCATTCCTCTCTCTGTTCACAGCTTCACCAGCCAGACATACAACGTCCGTGTCCCCCTCACCTGCTGGGAGATCTCCGTTGAAGGTACTGACTCATATTTAGACTCAGGCGAGAGACTGTCCCCACATTCGTTCTTTCCTTACGATTCATCCCTGGTACATCACTGAGCTGCTTTCATAGGTACATACCAGGCAAAGAACATCTAAAGAAGGGGTGAAGGAAGATTAGTAAGAAAACACTAGGCTTTCCTTTCAGGGAGCGTCCTCCATCGGAGCCATTTGTGTTCAGATTATTAGCTTCATTCCCCAAATAGTGGCAGTGAAAATGTCCGGACTAGAATCTGCATATACACTGAATTAGGAAAGAAATATGGTCTCACTGTATTTCCTAGGATGTTTTCAGTCTGGTCTTTTGGTTTCAGGGACATCAAAAAAAGAAAAAGAAAAAAACAAATTGAAAAACTCCATCAACAAGCCTAGTAAATGGTCTCCTGTGCCTTTTTGCTTCTGTCAGCCCCAACCATTTGATAAAGTCAAACCCAACTTTTTCCTCCTTTAATGTTTTATACCAACATTTTCATTTACATTAGAGATATATACTTGATCATGAAAAATACGACAGTAAAATGAATTAAAAATTTTCTAGGAAACAAATTGAAAAGCTTTAAAGGTGAGACGTTTAAATTGATAGGTAGACATAAGCTATTTAACATCTCTAAACATACAAAATCCCTCATGAAGGTAAAGAATAATATTTAGTCTCTATCCAAATTGAATCAGACTGGCTGCAAGGATTGTCAGTACCTATAGGCATTGGTGTTCAGAGCTGCTGTACCAGAGGCAAATATGGGGTTCAAGTGAGTGTTAAAAGAATGATTTTGTATCTGAGTGAGGATTTACATGCTCCGTGTCCTTTTTGTTGAGGAGGTATTTCTAGCTAATGTGAAAAAGACAAATTAGCTTCTAAAAACACATAGGGGCAGGTCGTGATCCGATGCATCTGTGTTGCTAAGGATAGTTGCTGATAGAAACTGAGAATCTGGAAAACAAAAGCCCCAAAATGGAGAAAATTGCAAAGAAGTGTGATTTCATATGCATTGCCAACATTTCTGATGCAGAAATTTGCTGGAGAGTGCAAATTATTTGCTAGTTTTTCTGTCATTCTGCAATGCAGCTGTTAATCATAACGTACACGTGACTGCATTCGTTCTAGAAGCCATAGACTGTCACGTTGATGTGATGGGAAAGGAAGCAACATGATGTTTCCACATCTTACATTTAGCCTTACTCGCAAGGAGCTCCCACATATTGCTATGCAATTACCATCTGCATTTTTCAGCTTGATTTTGCAGAGTAGTAAGTCTTAGAGATTGATTCTGTAAAAAGAACTGAAGGGATAAAAATATTCAAGTAGCTACCAAACAGTCCCATTTAGCAAGGTGGTATATACTTTCTCTCTCTGCAGAGCTGGTGATGTTCTAACTGGCCAGGTGTAGCCCTGTAGGCATATCTATACAAATGGGGCTTGGAGAGAAAATGAATGGAATATTTCTGTTATGACTCCTGCATTACATTAGAGGGCACACTGCTACCAAGTTACGAGCTTTGCTAGGCCTAGGATGAAGTTTATTGCCTTAACTTTGTTTTTTCAGCAGTTAAATGATGGAGTTAATCCTGTGGAGAAGACTGAGCTTACCTGCCTTATTTTAAGCTTGCGGTCTAACTGTTCACAGTGAACAGCAGTGAATTTGGCTCTCTTAATTGGCGACGCTGAATTTTAGGCTCCTGCTAAATGAATTTATTTGTGTTTCCCAGCATTATTTTGTTTAAAAAGAGAGACCAAGGTAGAGTTAGTCTAGGATAACCTTTCACAAAATGTGTGCCATAGAACGTAGTTTTATAGGTCATCATGATAAATGAAAAAATGGTCTGTACTCAGGTAAGTTTAGAAAACCCTGGGCTGCAACGTCCTTTCATTTTCTTGATCATTAAGACTGTAACATGCTACTCTGCTTTGAATGCACTCAAGGAGTACATAGGATGCGACATTTCCCAGTAGAACCCTCCTCACATGGAGCATCACTTAGGGCTCCTTTTCCATAGGATGCCAGTCAGGGAAGTAGCAAACTCAGATGCCAACTGAATAGACAGCTAATGTGCATGAGCGAAGGAAGCTGGAGAATCCATGCCCCATCTCCAGGGGAAAGGCCCTGCTCAGTTTCAAAAGATTATCTCCATTAAGAGAAAGCAAGCCCTTGTTGATAGAACTTCTTGTTTTTTTATCAAATGCCAAAAATCTGGGGCTTTATGAGAAATCTTCCTATTTTAAAAACTTAGTAACCAAGTCAGGTTTTTAAAAAACATGCCAGATGAAACAGGTCCCATTTCAATCTAGAGCCTGAGAGCTGCCCATGTGCCGCTTCTTCTGCTCACTGGTCTGGAATGGGAGAGAACTTTCGTGCAAGCCTAGGGTGCCTCACTCCTCCTCCTGAGGTCTTTGGTAGGAGACACCCCCCCACACACACCCCTGTTAGACTGCCCTGGCTCCTGTCCTCCAGTTCTGAGCCCATCCCTGCTGAACTAGAAGGGGGAAATGGCACTCCCAAGGCTGTCTGTTGTTGTTTCTGCCGGTTCCCTCTCAAATGATGGGACTAATTATATACCTCTGAATTTTCTCCCTGATTACTGCTAGCCTCGTTTTGTCCTGAAAATAAGTAAAATGGGCAGCGAGGTAAACGGAGTGAAAGGCAGGTGAATGCCTGAGGTCCGTCTTGCTGCAGAGAATGACACGGCCTCCAGTCTGACGCTGGGTGTTTGCATTAGCCCAGCCAGCACCACAGTTTGGGTGGCTTCCACAACAGAAATGGATTTTCGCACAGTTCTGGAGGCTACAGGATCCAAAAACAAGGTGTCGGGAGACTGGGTTTCTCCCGCGGCCCCTCTCCTTGCCTTGCAGATGGCCGCCTTCTCCCTCTGCCTTAACAGGGTCTTTGCCCACCTTTGGTGCCTCTGTACCCAAATTTCTTCCTATAAGGTCAGATCAGATGAGGGCCCACCCGAAAAGCCTCCCTTTAAGGTACCCCCCTCTTTCAAGGCCCTGGCTCCAGATACAGTCCCATTCCAGGCAGCAGGGATGCGGGCTTGAGTTCATGGATCTGGGAGGCTCACGTGCAGCCCGGGGCAGCGTTGATGACTCCGCCGTGTCTCCTTCCCCTCCGGCTTTTCTCCCCCCGCCCCCTTCCCTTCCAGCACGCCCCCTTCCCTTCCAGCAGGGCTCCGTGCAGTTACAGTCCCATTCCAGGCAGCAGGGCTGAGGGCTTGAGTTCATGGATCTGGGAGGCTCACGTGCAGCCCGGGGCAGCGTTGATGACTCCGCCGTGTCTCCTTCCCCTCCGGCTTTTCTCCCCCCGCCCCCTTCCCTTCCAGCAGGGCTCCGTGCAGTCTTTCACCCCCTCTCCGGTGGAGTACCACTCCCCAGGACTGACCTCCAACTCGCCCGTCCTGTCAGGCAGCTACAGCAGTGGGATTTCTTCTCTCAGCCGGTGTAGCACCTCGGAAACCTCAGGCTTCGAAAATCAGGTGAACGAACAGTCGGCGCCGGGGCCGGGGCCGGGGCCGAGCTACGGCGGGCCGGACGAGCCGGGGCGCAAGGAGAGCAAAACGCCGCCGCCCTACAGCGTGTACGAGCGGACTCTGCGGCGGCCCGTCCCGCTACCTCACAGCCTCTCCATCCCGGTCGCGGCCGAGCCGCCCGCGCTGCCCCCCAAGCCGCTGGCGGCGCGGCCCGGCCACCTGGAGAACGGGACCCGGAGGACCGAGCCCGGCCCGCGGCCCAGGCCCCTGCCCCGCAAGGTCTCGCAGTTATGAGCCCTTTGCAGGTCCCCGGCGACGACGAGTCCCGGCCGTTTACAAGAGGATAGGCAGGCAGTACGACGAGGAGACGTTTAGTGTAGGCACTTTAATAACTTACTCAGATTTGTCTTTCAATGAATGGAATTAAAACTTGCTTATTAATATGTTGCACAATATTAAGTTACTGATCGCAAGCGCCAGACGTCACATGAAGTATGGCTGACTTTCCTTACAATGTCTCTTCGTTTGAAAGTGGTAAATAGTGTTAAAGACTTCTTTTGTATCTTTTTACGTTCACCTTTTTTATATAGTTTCCTCTTAAAACCAATAGGATATTGTCGAACAATATGGCGCGTGATGTTGTTGTATACTTTTTACTGAATACTTGATACTCCGAGAAAGCTTACTAAGTCAATGCACAGCCTAACACAATGGTCCTTACTTTAGAAGACTTCTGTAAATAAGGGGAGATTTCTGGCTCTTTCCGTGAACAGACTGATCAGTGCACATCAGCAGAATTACAGGTTAAAGCAGGCTACTTAGACAATATACTTAAGGGGTTGCAAGGAGTAGGACTGCAAGTTATTTTGTTCTTGAAACAAAATAATTCTTTAAGGTTGCTTTTGACATTTGACCACTGTCTACTTTCTTAAAACTCTACTTTGTGAATCGGTTGGTAAATCCTTTAGTACCCTGACGTCATGGTATCTACTGTATTTCTTTTCAAGGTGCAATTTACTTTCAGAGTTCCAGTCGGCTAGACTAAGCAAAAGACCCCGGGGAGAAATGTTTACTTGAATCTTGTGCTTCCGTACTTGATAGTTTCCTCTGCAGCATTTGTCATTGAAGAAGAGCAGATGTTCACGTGTTAAATAGGCACAAATTAATGTGTCCCATTAACAAGAATTCAGGAATCAATACAGGACAGTATTAAATCAATAGCGTAAATGAAGAAAAAAAAACCTTAGAGAAAATATATTAGCATGATTAAATGGCAAAAGGACTTTCAAAAGGTAAGGGCATTAACTTTCAATCCTGCACCAAATAGAAAATTCGTCACAACTCTCCAAGCTCCTACCGGAGCTTGGCTTCTTAGCTGATCCTGTTTTTTGAAGGGTAAGATGGCCGTAGACCCCTCTGGCTTGAGTATTGCTACGCAGCATCTCAGATCTAGAGAGGGATGCTAATGCCCCAGTTGCGGAAGAGGGGGAAAAAAGCACCTTGTATGTAGTAATGTATTTTGTATCTTTGTTTTTTTCTTTTACTGACTGTTTATAACACTCAATTGACAATAACTATGAACTGTATTTTAAATCATACTGTTAAATATTTTCCCTCTTTTGTTGGGAAGCTCATTTTAGTTTAACCTTAAGTGTTTGTTTTTGTTGATAGCTTACCTGGAAGGCAGTGACCACTTTTTATATTCTCTTAATGAAACCATTCAGCAGGTATACGCTGTTGAGGCTGGTTACAGAGGTTTTCTATAATAAATGTTCAAGTATTTTTGTACATAACTGGTTAATTTTAATAAGAGATACCATTATGTGTAAAAAAAAAAAAAGTAAGAATAAAAGCAAACAGTTGTGGATGCAGTATGATTGTTATAATTATGCCAAATACTTTATGTATGGAAAAAGAATATTTGTACATATGTGCTTTTAACAATAATTCTGCCATATTGACTTTACAATTTTGAATGTCAGAAAAATTAATATATGTTAAAATATTTATGTTTAGTGGAAGTATTCATTATTGAGAAAAGGAACATATGAATTTTAGCTTTGTATCTTACAAGTTTTGCAGCCGGAAATTTCTGGAACTAGCTTCTGCTTTTGATGATAACACTTTGTGTTTGTAATCACATTCTTAAAAATATACACACACACACATAGGAAGCTCCATATTCCTGTTGCTTTAAAGAAGTAAAGCCTTCCATTTAAATAAGTTGACATGCATAAGGTAACAAAGCTTCTTTGATTTCCTTTTCCTTTGTAATTTAATAGATTGTTGACTAGTGCTTGGGCACTGTATAAATCAGTGTTATTTGCTCTTGACGCCATTTTTTTTAAAAAGTTTTTTGGCAATGAAGAGTTCAATTTATCATGTGTGTGTATTTCTGAAGCAGCTATATAGAACATTTCAAAAGATTCTGTTTTAGCTCAGATGTTCATGTTGGTTGCTGCTGAATGGTAAATATTTAATAAAATTACCTGATTAATCTTAATATAACTGTCTTTATTCCTGTTATCAGTGTGTCTTTACCTGGAACAGAAGCTGCATAAATCTCTTGGTCATATCTTAGTGAAGTTGTTAGACTCCTTTGTTGATAGATCCTGTTTTGGTGTTGTCTTGCCTTGGTTGATGGCACTTCTCCCGACAAAGCTTATCTATGCCTTAGAGAAAAAAAGTTGAAAAGGTAATGCTGTTGGTTACTACCAGTAGAGAAGTAAGATTTACTTGGGCGGTGGATTGTTAATTAACCTAACCAGAGCTGTTTTAAAAAGTCAAGCCATTGGGGCGCCTGGGTGGCTCAGTCAGTTGAGCGTCCAACTGTTGGTTTCGGCTCAGGTCTTGGTCTTGGCATCCTGAGATCCAGCCCTCCCCACCCCCCCATCCCCGTTGGGCTCCGTGCTGGGCATGGAACCTGCTTGAGATTCTCTCTCTCCCTTACTCTCTGCCCCTCCCCCCCCCACCACATGTTGGTGTGCGTGTGCGCACGCTCTCTCAAAAAAATACTAAAACCATCCAGGTTTGTTTACATTGGAAAACTTGACACAAGACAGATAACTGCCAGGCATACAAAGGAAACTGCCTTTGTCAGCTCTGACAAACTCTACCCGCACGCAGGCCAGCTTTTCTCCCTGATTTTCATAAAAAGATGGGAAACAAACACTGGAAAACCCATCGACTACAAGATTTCTGTTAACAGAAGCTGGCGTTTAATTTTGTGAGATGTGTCTATGCTGTGTTAGATTTACAACATTTTATGTAACTCAATGCTAAGCAAGCCATTGTCTGAAGCCTCCATCCCATTAACTACCAAAACCCATTTAAAGGCCATAGTCAATGTCCTCCTGATTGTTTCTCAACATTAACTAAGTGATTTTAGAGCATTTGGATCATTTTCATTACAACAGAGCCCGTAAGTATTTCGATTCTACAAGCGTAATTACAATATGAATAGCTCTGCTTCCTACCTAAGTAGTCTTCTCTCTAAATTGTTATTGATTGTTCTACAAAACACAACGAAGAGAATAACAAGTTGCACAGCTTTGCCTTTATTTGATCTTTACATATTAAAATGTGGCCGTACCAGAATGAATTCTTATTGATTGAAATAAGCCTTGCCCTCATTACATAAGAATATCATAAAAAAGACTTGAAAAATTGACCAAATTCCAACCCCCTAACATAGCTATTATTTTTACACATCCCTTTCAGTTTGTTTCTACATATATTTATTGCACAGTTTTTCTACATTGCTGAGTGTGGTTCCCTAAGTATAATACAGGGCTGACTCATTGCCATTAGTGAGAGTGCCACACCTCTATAGAGCTTTGGTCATGTCTCAGGGAGGGAAGGGCAAGATCCGATTTTATGGAAATTTTGGAGTTTTGTTTAAGGTGGGACTTACTTTCAATGAGCAGGCATTAAGACTGGGTAAACGTCATGATATAATTGTTCGGATTTGATGGAAATAGCAAGGCAAGAATTTTGGGTTGAGGGTTTCAAAAAGTCTTAGGCTATAACTGTCAGTTGATGCTTTCTGATAATTTGATAAGATCTGTTGAGAAGTTCCTATTATGAACAATAAAGTTATTTGCCTCTCCAAGAGATGGGTTGTAGAGTAAACTTACGCTTATGAACACTGGAATATGGAGTCCTATTCATGCAAACAACAGCTGTATGGGGTAGTTTCAGTTCTCAATGTGTATATTTTATATAGTTATAATCACAGTAAACCTGGACAAATTATCCTTATTTTATCTTTATTTGTAGTATGTATTTGCATATAACATATATATAAAGGCAAAGTATATATTCCCTAATTCATTGAGCCATTCCCCTGTTAATTGACATTATATTGTTTCCAAGGTCTTGCTCCTACAAATAACACCACTTTGACTCTTCTTACATGCAACTTTGCCCATGTTCGGATTATTGCCTTACAGTGTATTCCTACACTGAAATTGCAAAGGCAGAGGAATGATGATTTTTATCATTCTTTTGTATATTGGCAAATCTATTCCCAAAAGTGTTGTGCCAATCTTAATGCCACCAGCAATATCTTTCCAAAACTGGCTATTGATGCAGTATTTTGTGCTATGTGGGAAGAAAATATTGCTGCCTTACCCAAAATTTGAGAAAATGTTAATAAGTCTTTTACAGAATCTTGTGCTAAGGAAATTGATATCCTTACAAAGGAAATGAAAAAGAGAGATGAGAAGACAGAAAAGTTAACAAGCTAATGCTGATACTCAACACGGCACCTACTGAAAATTCTTCATCCCAGAGAAGAGATTGCTAGGAATATCCTCTGTATCAAACGTTAGAAAACCTTAGCATTCTCTACACAAGTACAACCTCACTTATCCAGAGTTTACCCCTGTCATTCACAGTGAAGGAATCCAAAACCTAGAAGTGAGGACAATGACCTGAAGAACTGTAGTCAACACCATAGTCTCCTGAGTGAACTGTTCCCAAGAAGATGAGGCTAATAAAAAGTCTGGTGTGTTTGAACTTTAATGAAGAATAAGTCCTTAGTGTTGAGAGATGGACGACATGGGTTTCTAGAAAGCTATGCAAGTGAAAAAAAAAAAAAAACATGAAGTTAATTCCAGAGTACAAAAAAATTTTGTAAAAGTAAATGTAATTATATAGTACACTGTGTTGGTCAACTACCTATAATATTTACATAGTCATGGAAACGTAAAACATATATTGATCTAATTCCAAATTATAATATAATTAGACTGGAAGGACAAGGGTGAGGAAGGAATTTGTATGCACAGAGAATAAAATAAATATTCATCTTCTATAACGGAATGTGAATAGTGAAGGGGAGGAAGAAATTTTCCTTAGTCCAAGGTTCTGTTCTGTTCTAGCTGGGCTAAGAATTACGTCTACATGAGACGTGAAATGTCATTTCCTCTATGATCCAAAAGTTTACTCCCAAAAATAGTGTAAGAGAGCAAAGACCACCGTGCACAAGTGGTGAGAATATATGGAATCTCCAGTCTCCCACAAATGGGAGACCCCTCCAGGCACAGACTAGCTAATCTGTGACACTAGGCAGGCAGTACTGGAATGGGACTTGCAGCACTAATAAGCAACAAAGGTTGAGACAACAAAGGTCCCTTGTGGGCTGGGACCTCTTATAACAGATTCCTGAGCGCTGGCAGGGCTGGACAAAGAGAGTGCTGCTTAATAATATATGTCTCAGATCCCCATTCTAGTTGACTGGCCACCAAGGTGCATCCCGGTAAGGGCACCCTCCCCAATGGTGAAGACCACAGGGAATACTCTCACTAATCACAAAGTCAAGCTCTTTGACACAGAACAAGACAAAAAGGAAAAACCTCATCCTATTTCTCTTATGTACACATTAACAACTTTAGCTCAGCCTTGGATCTTCTGGAGCCATGCTAATACCTAGGAGGGATGTGCCACAGGGTTAGAGATTGTGTGTTTTATAGTGTATTTCATCGCACAGGACTTTTTTTTTGAGGTTTCCGGGTGACCTAGTGTCAATCTAATCCATTCCGTGACCAACTTATCCTAACACGGGAGCCTTTGGGTCAGGTGGTGAATGCTCTAACAGCTTTTAAGTGCTCCACTCATGCCCACCAACTCTGTAGCTTTAGCTTCCAACACATTCCATAGCAATAGCCTTTACCTCATATGCACATTAGCCCACAACAAAGTTTGTCTAAATAGACACTGGTCTGATGAGAATCATTGAATCCACTTGTCTGTGAAGCCAGTCTCAACAGTTGGCTTATAGGGTCCATGCCTGCATTCTGCCCTATGGTGGGTTTGGTTTTGTTTTTGTTTTAATGACAAATGGCATAAAAGATAAGCAAAGAAAAACAAAGACCATCTCTGGGAGGAAATGGATCAGTAACCCAAGGGTACTCTACCAAATTTTTACCAAGAGTCCCTAAGCCCTAGGAACTAGTTCCAATACTTTATCTGATAAGTTTAGAGAGAATAAAAATCTCACCCTTCTCACTCCATCTGACCCCACAGACAGAGATTTCAGGAGGCTGACATCAGAAGTCTTACCTTCTGGTTTTATGTCATAGGTCCCAAGATCTCAAAGCTGCTGAATCTTCAGAGCCAATGTCCAGTAGAAGTTTATTCTGCTGTGTCAGGTGAAGGGGAGGAAGAAATTTTTCCTGCTCCAGAGTTCTTCTAGCTGGGCTAAGAATTAAATTTACATGAGATAGATTAACAGGAGAAAATAAACCAGTTT